TAGCTTCAGTGCCTTTTGCTTCCTAATGGCCAAGCATTATTAGATTTCCTAAAGTGCTCAGAAAAGCCTGTTTCACATGCAGAATCTAAATTAGCTTACTGGTGTTTAAGTTAAGGGCTAATTAATTTGAAAAATATAACTATGAACCAGTCTGGTGGCCTATTTCATGATGTGACACTTAATTTTGTAGAATAAGAATGCTATTGCTAATAACAACTACATCTAATGGCCAAGCATTATTAGATTTCCTAAAGTGCTCAGAAAAGCCTGTTTCACATGCAGAATCTAAATTAGCTTACTGGTGTTTAAGTTAAGGGCTAATTAATTTGAAAAATATAACTATGAACCAGTCTGGTGGCCTATTTCATGATGTGACACTTAATTTTGTAGAATAAGAATGCTATTGCTAATAACAACTACATTAAAGAGCTAATGATAAGAAGAATTGAATCATTGCTATTGACCTACAGAGTTGTTTATGGATCAGCATGCAGGATGTGTGCCCCTTTTCTCCTTAGGCCAAGAAATTAACCTTAACGTCCTTTGGGGACACGTACCAATGGTGCATCATTGAAGCATGGGCTAACCAGCAAAATAGCAGAGATATTAACACTGTAATTTCTGCTTTTGCAGATTTTAAAAGCAGGATTTCTGGTTTTTCAGCATCTTCTCCCTAATTCCCTGTCTCCCTCTCCATATTTCTCTTGTCCTGCAAGTAGGTGATTGTCCCAGCCAGTTCTCTGCCAGATAGTACTGGGTTCATGAGATACCTAAGGTAGGTCACTGACTTTTAGGCAATTGCACTGAGCTTTCTTCCTGTTTCAAAAGTGGGAACACGTGAAGAAAACCTATTGTAGGCAGAACTGGCTCAGAATGAATAGAAGACGGTGATGGTGGCTGTGAAGTAATTTTAGGGTTCCTTTTCTGTCATGCAGGATGACAATGAGGAATGCTTTTATTTTTTTCTGGAAGAAGTCTCAATGCCTGCAGAAAAACTGGGCATTTAAATATAATGAAGGTAGAAATTCCTTTATAAGCAAGTGAGGAAGTTGTGAATGAGGTAGGCAACCAAAGGTCTAATCAGAAGAGAAGGAAGATAGCAATCAACAAAACAAGGTTTCTTTATGCAAATGGAGAGTGTCACACGGTAGGACACTGATATTCTGCAATAGCGTTTACTGGGAAACATTATGACTTGAGCTAGGACATCTATCTTTTACAGTGGTTCTGTCAGAGCCTTTATCATCTCAAAATGCCTATGGGCTCAGCATGAACTGCACATCTTGTATTTTTCAGCTTTTTTCTTTATTTTACTATTAATAAATAATTTTTTTTAGAAAGTTATTAATTGCAAGGTGTGTTTGCATAAATATTTCTCCCTAAACAGGATATTTGTGTTGTGGAAGGCCACAAGGCACAGAAGGCCTTTGAGCACTGATAGCAGATGAAGGGTGAAGATAGAGTTATGAGAAACAGTAGGCAGGCAGCATCGCCCAGGAGAAGTGCCTTAGGAAAATTCAATTTCCCCATTCTCACATACTTACAAACAGAGCATAGATTTCAGTTCCCTTCCATCTTTTCCCTTTCGCTTTTACTGAAAATATTAGGACATCGGGCAAACTTGATTTTAATTGTATATCATAGAACAAACTCAACTCTAGCCCTATGGGCTTTTCTCTCCCCTTCAAATGTCCAGCCATTGAAATCATTGACTTCTGACAGCTGCCACAGAGGTCATTGGATATTCTGGGAAAAGGTGAGACTACCCAGGAGTTACTTTATGTGTAGGGCTACACAGAAGAAGCATACTAAGGGAAAAGAAGGTAGTATTAACAGTGATTCTGTGGAGTCCAAGTGCTCTGCACTATGCAGCAGGAGACATGATTTCATGGTCTGAATGAGTCTGGAACTGTGAGGCAGGCAATCATCATACATCATCCCAAAGCAGCCAGGATTCACGGGAGTAAAGCCACAACCATTATTTGCGTGGAGCTAGAGAACAATTCTCCCAAATGATGAGGAGCTAACTGGAGACAGAAGAATATGTGTCCCACCAGTTCCAATAATGCATCCAAGAAACCTGGGAAAACTCTGTATCCTTTTTTTTATTGTCTCCCACTCATGATGTCATCACAAGTTAAAAGACAGAGCAATGAAAAATGAACTGGGGCATTCATTGATAAAGCTGCTTAATAGAATAGAATACTTTTATATTGGAAAGGAGATATGTCAGTCACCCAGTCGAACCTTCCACTCAAAGCAGTGCCATCTTAAATACAGTTGCCCAGGCTTTGTCCTGTCAAATTTGATTTATTTGTAAAGATGGAGACAACACCACTGGAGTGTTTGACTAGCCTCATTGTGATTGTTTTTTAAAATTTTGTAATAATATTGATATAGTTGAAAACTAACAGTCAATGTGTTCTGCAAATGTTAGGCAATCTGTTGAGGAATTCTTGT